CCCTGCTCAGAGTCGGAACCCTGTCCAGGGCCCTCCACATCCTCCAGAGCCGACTCATAGGGCCCCTCACTGTCGGAGTCTGGTGGCAGCTCCAACGGCGCCTACTGGGCCACAACAGAAACCAGAACTGAAGAAGCTTTTAGAACTCAGGAAGGTTCTTGGATGAGAAGTGAAACCGTTTCAAGCAAAAGAAGAAATTCCAGTAGGTTTTTGAAGGAAAGCACCTTTGGAAGGTCTGAGAGTGCAAATAGTACACTTGACAGAGGAAGTTCTTTAGGATTTGTACCAGTGCTTTGACTTGGTCCATAACATTGCTTAATTTTTTTCTTTCCAAGGAAGAGACAGCTTTAGGGCAAGAATATCAGACTCAAGGCCCAGGGGCCAGATCCAGCCATGGGGTACTTAGATCTGGCCCACGGGGCCACGATGGAAACAGCAAAGGACTGGCCCATGGTGCTTCTGCCAGTGAAAATGGACTCCCAGGCTCTGTTTCAGGAGGCCATGGCAGCAGAAAATGGAGCCATGGAGCCTGTTTTTGCTGGCACAGCGCTACAGCGACCACGGATACCCCCGACAGGAGTGACATCAAGCTGGCCACATTCATCCTGGCCATGCCCACCTCAGGCCTCCAAGGTCAAACACAACCCTGATGCGGCCCTCAATCAAATTGAGTTTGACACCCGTGGTTTAGGGCTCCCATAATAAAACCAATTGCTTATAAATTATTAGATGTAAAATACTTTGATACAAATAAATGAAAACTTTTATTCATATTTCTACTTTGTACATGAGTGCAGTCATTATTTATTATTGCATTGGTAATGTTATTTATTGCAAATATATTTCAGCAACATTTAAAAAACTTATGTTGCTGAACAAAAATAAAAGTAATTTCTGCATAAGGATGATGTACTTGCAAGCATTATGATGGCATCCTATCTATAACAATTTAATATTTTTCATATAAATGAAACTTTTTTTCTAATTACACATTACAGGTAGATAGAAATAAAATTACACTGACCTAATATTGCACAGCTATCAAAATAATCATTAGCTTTTTCACAGTAAGGTACTGGAAATTGTTTGAAGTACAATAAATAAATCCAGCTACCATTCTCCTTTTTGCTTACTGTTTTTCTTTTGGCAGAATATATGATTACTGTAGCTTCAAATGAACATGAAGTGTCTTGTGTTGTCTTGCTTTGGTTATAATTTTTCTTTTGTGTTTTTTCATGATAATGCCCAATCATAGTTAGAAAGTGAGTGTTGGAATTGTAATCTTGTTTAAATTGAAACCAAGAGATTTTGTAAATTCCTTAAATCATGAATAAGGATATTTGTATTTTACAGTTTTATATATTTTATATATCTTCCAGTATTTTAGTGCACAACGGAATTGTTCAGGAGTTTAATTCAACACAATGGTCTTTTTAAGACTGCTATTGGTATTATATTCAGTAATGGAGAATTTGCAGACTTTCCCATCATCATCCATTGAGGACACGGTAGAATGTTCCTCACTCATAAAAGCCAATGCCATAACTTAATGCTTGCCTGTTGGCAGGCAGCTAAAGCAGTAGTTTAAAACAACTTGGAGTTTGAAAGCATTTGGTTTTAATTTAAATTACTTTTGTCACGCTTTCTTTTGGATATCTTAACATCCATGCTGTTAAGTAGTGTATGATCCAGAGATGGTATTCTGCCAGTTCGCACCGGTTCGAGTGAACCGGTAGTGGCGTCGTCGTGAAGTCCCGCCCACTCACCCAGATGTGTGCTCCTGCTACCAACCTGGTAGTGAATAAAATAGGATAGTATTAGTGGTATGAGCAACTTTGAAAGTCTTTGTACATGATTTAGAACAGGGATCTCAAACTCGTGTTGTCACGGTGTCATTACGTGACATATCACAACTTTTTCCCCCTTCGCTAAAGCAAGGGTGGGCGTGGCCAGTGCATGACACATCTGGCCCGCGTGCCATGAGTTTGACAGGCCTGATTTAGAATATAAACCATCCGTGTTTGAAGTTTCTTAAAAGTTTTTCTGAGCTTTCATAACCACAGATATTGAAACATTCAGAGTTAAAAATGGTTTCTGTATAAATGAATGAAACATGAACAGAACGTGACTTTTGAATACAAGTATAATCATATTGCAGAGTTGATGATCTATTGTTATAAAAATAAATAAATAAATAAATAATAGCATAGTCATTTATTTTCCCTAAAAGTCTGCTCCACCTAGTTAACTGCGCATCTTTCAATTGGAACTGAATAAATTAGTAGCCTTGATGTTCTCTTTTTAAGGTAATTTATTAAATATCAGTAACGTGAGTAAAAAGTAAACAAGCAGGGAGAAAGTAAGTTGAAAAAGGTGGAAAAAGGCAAAAAGCAAAATAAAAATGCAGAAAGATCCCTTATCTGTTTGCACGTAATGTTTTGACTTATTGAATACAGAAAGGCGTAGTGTAATCATTTAATTACAAAAGTATTTTCCAAAATGGCCAGCTAGATGGCAGCACTTAGCTGACCTTGACTGATCTCAAAAATCAAGCTTGGATGGGAGAACACCATGGAATCCCAGAGTAACAGATTAAGATGAGATTGGAAAATTAAAAAAAAACAACAGATAAACAGAGGTAGTGGCAAACCAGTTCTATATTGTTGCCAAGAGAAAACATGAATGTATCCATGACATCCTCAAGCATCAATATCCACTTGAGGAAAACTTGGCTTCATCAATTCATATAAATTCCATACACCAAGCTTCCTATGGATTCACACATGGAAATTTCTGATTATGCTTTGAAGTAGTATAAAGGCTACTTTTGTTTTTATATTTTATTTATATTCATTTATATATTTATTTTACTGTTAAATAGATATGTTCTAACTATTTATATAAACTAATAAATGTGCGTGGTCAAAAAAATTGTGGTTTATCAACACATTATGAATCAATAAAGTCTTCATTATCTGTTTTGGTAAGATTAGAGGCATATTTCCTAATTCTGATACATTTCATGATTTTGTATTCAGTATCCTTAGATTTTCAGAAATGGTAGTAGACTATAATACTTGACTGCTTTTCTGTCTTATGATGAAGAACAGGATTCTTCAGTGATCCATTATGACAATATATTAAAGAAAGAAAATATGTAATGCATATCATTATAGAGGAGAATGTGAAATATATTTCTTTAACATTTGGAAAAAAGGGATGTGTTGGCTATTAAACCTTTTGCCAATTCTGAATTTAAAAGCCATTTATATAGCACATGGCAACCATCTCAGATAATGGATAAAAAGTTGACAGAAAAGTTGAACATTTGTTGATTTAATTGGACAATTTTATTTTAATGATGTCTTTATAAGTAATGGTTCTAGAAAGGTCCTGGCACAGTCCTTAAAAACTAGTATTACAGCATGTGATTTCCACTAGTGACTTACAGCTTGTAAGTCCAGTTCATTCCATATCCCTGGAAAAAATGATTTTAAAAAGTTTTCATAGAGAAAATAGGTCATTACCGGCAAGTATAATCAGTTTGAATCCATTGGTATCTGTAAGGCACTTTACACTTAAATTAAGAAACTTTTCTTGAAACGGGACAACACATCTCTACATATATTTTAGAAGAATTTTATCGATACTCCAGGATTTTGTTGTGAATGTAGATGATACCCTGGTCTTCCAAGATATATTTTGCAAGTTGAAGTTTAGATAAGGTTAGAAAAGTTTTCATTAAATCTGTGGTGTATGTCCAGCTGTGTTGCAACTTGAAGATAATTTGTTATAAATTAAACAGGTTCAGAAGCAATGTTGCTAATTTAATTCTAGCTATAATCTTTCTGACAAAATGTGATCCACTGGAGAAGGAAATGACAACCCACTCCAGTATCTTTGCCATGAAAACCCCATGGACAACGTTGTCCTTGTGGTCGTGGTGGGTTGGACATAACTTCGCAATCAACAACAACATTTCTATATTGTTATGCCCAATTAAGTTTTCAATGGTTTAAATTTAATCTACTATTTAAAAACTCATAGTATTGTTAACCTAAGTGATGAAAATGAAGAGTCATTTAAGGCCTGTACAATTGATGTACTTGTTGCCTTGATGAAACATAATGTGTAATTTACCTTATACCTAGAAAAAAAAAATTCTGATCACTGGAAATCTGTTTATATAAGTATTACTTCATCTGGAAATGCCAAACATACTCTTTGTTCTTACTGCACGGAGTCTTTTCTCATTTTAATAACAGCAGGGGCATGAATAGATTAAAACAGTACTATGAATATTAAGGGAGAGATTACTTAAATTGAATGTAATCATAATTGTAATATTAATGTATGGATTTTTAAAAAAATACATTTTTACATTGGCTGACTAGAGGACTTTATGATTCTTTAAAAAAATTAAAACATGCCCTGAGCAGGTCTGAAGAAATAATTCTGAAGAAAGTTATGAGTTGCTTTTAAGAAATATTCAGGCTAGTAACATAAATTTTGAAGGACGAACTAGGTTTTATGAGAAACTGAATTCTGACCACTAACCTTCAGCATTCAGAACCTCTAATATGTAATGTGTTTTGTGTCTTATGCCTCTCCTTTATATTATTAGGCATGAGAAAGTGGAAGTGTGGTAGGCATTGGTTAACATTACAGGGAGGAAGGGTCTAGTATGAAGACCTCAAGTTTTGTGTCCATTTTAGTGTATAGGTCCCTGCTGTGTTACCGATCTAATTCTACAGAGAACAAATTGCCAGATTTTTTATATTGAATATGTATTTAAGTATGCAAATAACTTTTGTAGAGATTAACATTTGTGCTATTAATAATGTTTAATATATACCCATTCTGGTTTCAATTTGTTTTCAAACTAATAACGTCTTCTTTCATAAAAATGTACTTTGGCATAATGTACAACCTACAGTAGCATGGAAGTTGTCTTTTGCACAGTTCTTTTATGCATTAAGTGGGATGGATGACAAATAAATTTAACGAACTAACAAATAAATAAATAGCATATCCATGCAAATAATTGATTCAAAGAAGAAGAAGAAAACTCTGGAAATACCCCTTGAGCTCTTTATCAGTTGCTTTCTCTAATGCTGCTTGGTTTTAAATGTATCTTTTCATTATATTTTTAGGCTCCCAGTAGTCTTATGGAGACTCTTGAACAGCATCTAAATACTTTGGAAGGAAAGAAACCTGGGAACAAGTATGAAGAGATTTTATAGATTGATCTAAAGAGGTAGTGGGGAGAGAATCCGTGTATAAGTTTGAGCATTGCTTGGTGAAGTTTTTGGCTCCTTATTAGAAAAAGCATTGAGCGTTCATTATGCTATAGTAAAGACAAAACAGCATCTCAACTGGTTGTTGTAATAAGTCACATGTATCTCTCTGTTCCTGAACTTCTCATTGCTTAGTGATAACTTTATTGCTTGCCACTTATTGAAGGAATATTAGCAACATAGAGCTTCTCTATTGTCTATACCCATGATGGCGAATGTATGGCATGCGTGCCACAGGTGGCACGCAGCGCCCTCTCTGTGGGCATACAAGCTGTCACCCCAGTTCAGCTCCACTGCACATGCGCGCACATCTCCTGTTGGCCAGCTGGTCATCGGGTCTCTGCCGTGTGGCGGGTGGGGCACATGTGGAGGACCATGTATGCATGTGCGGGGGTGCATGGAGAGTGTTGGGCACATGCATAGGGGGTGGGGGGCATGTGCAGGGGACGTGTGTGCATTGCATTTTGGGGGTTTGGGAGCACCTGCATGCATTTGCGCACACGCACTTTGGACACTCAGTCCAGAAAAGGTTAGCCATCACTGATCTATACACATACTTCTTCATACGAACACATTGTCCCCAGTCTTCCTTTCAGAATGGGTGGTACATATATGTATTGTGAGACTATTGCTTACCTATTGGTATGAAATACCGTATATTAATTGGTTTTTCCTGGACAGCAAAAATGGCATAACAGTCATGTTTCCAGCTGATGAAAGAAGCTGTAATGGAGAGAAACAGAGTAGATGTGTGCTAATACATGTAATATATTTGACCATGTAGGATTACTGTTCTGACCCCCCTCTTTGCTCGTTCAGAAACGACAGCCACACACAGCTTGCAAAGGAATGTCTTTATCAGTCCCGGCTCAAGCTGGCTGCAAGCCCAAAATAAACATAGATAAATTCTCTGGCAAAAATTCTCTGGCAAAAAT